CCTCCTCCCCCCTCCTCTCTCTATCTCTCCCTCTCTCTCTCTCCCTCTCTCTCTCACCCCCTTTTCTTTCAGTCTCCTCTCTGTCGTCTCTCCTAAGCCACCTTTTTTGATCGTCTTCTTTCGCTTCCCTTCTTTACGCCCTCCTTAACCGCCCTCCCCTCTCAGTCTCGACATGCATCGCTCGCTTCAATTCCTCCTGTCCTCTCTAAATATCTTCTCTGGCACACTACCCACTATCCCTCCCTCCCGTTTTTTCTGCAACCCAACGTCTCCTTGTCTCCTCGCCAATCTGCTTCCCTCGCCATCTCTATCTACATTAAAACATTAAAAGTGGGTATTAGTAGAATCCTTATTACAGATGTACATTAGGCTTACGGTTGCTACAACTGCCGCTCTCACTCCCCCTTCCACACGCACACGTCTCTTCTCAAACTCCCTATGTGCGCGTACTCGAACGGGGGGTGCGAGCGAAGGAGGGAACAGTCACTGCGCCAGGCCTCGCATCTTTTGAGATATCTAGATATGTGCTCGCGCGCGCTGTGAGACGGATTCGTGGATGAATGAACGGACAGGCGACTGATGAATAGTCTGCAAGTGGTGCACCCACTGCACGCGGGCGGGGCCGGGGTGTCAGTGACGGGGGAAGGGCGGAGGGGGAAGGCAGGGGTGTACTTGACGGAAAAGGGAGGAGGGGGAAAGGCAGGGGTGTAACTGACGGGGAAGGAAGGAGGGGGAAGGCAGGGGTGTACGAGACGGGGAAGGGAGGAGGGGGAAAGGCAGGGGTGTAAGTGACGGGGGAAGGGCAGGAGAGGGAAGGGCAGGGGTGTACGAGAAGGAGAAGGGAGAGGGGAGGGGAGTACACCCACTCCACGCGGGCTTGGCGGGAGTGTACGAGACGGGGAAGGAATAGCAGGGGAGGGCAGGGGTATACTTGACGGAGAGGGAAGGGGGAGATGTACAGGTAACGGGGAAGGGGAGAGCAGGAGTGTACGAGACGGAGAAGGAATAGCCAGGGGAGGGCAGGGGTATACTCCATATTCTCTCTCCTTGCGCCCTATATCTCCTCTCCAGCCACATGTACGACCCATTACCCGCTCACCATGTAGTTCGACACACTGTCTCACCGCCTGAGCTATGTGATCCCATCGCCATGCACCTCCTATAGGAGGTCCTACAGGAGGTCCTACAGGAGGTCCTACAGGAGGTCCTATAGGAGGTCCCATAGGAGGTCCTATAGGAGGTCCTACAGGAGGTCCTACAGGAGGTCCCATAGGAGGTCCTATAGGAGGTCCTACAGGAGGTCCTACAGGAGGTCCTATAGGAGGTCCTACAGGAGGTCCTATAGGAGGTCTTACACGAGGTCCTATAAAAGGTCCTACAGGAGGTCCTATAGGAGGTCCTACAGGAGGTCCTATAGGAGGTCCTACAGGAGGTCCTACAGGAGGTCCTATAAGAGGTTCTATAGGAGGTCTTACAGGAGGTCCTATAGGAGGTCCTATAAGAGGTCCTACAGAAGGTCCTATAGAAGGTCTTATAGGAGGTCCTACAGGAGGTCCTATAAGAGGTCCTATAGGAGGTCCTACAGGCGGTCCTACAGGAGGTTCTATAGGAGGTCTTATAGGAGGTCTTACAGGAGGTCCTATAGGAGGTCCTACAGGAGGTCCTACAGGAGGTCCTATAGGAGGTCCTATAGGAGGTCATGTAGGAGGTCCTATAAGAGGTCATATAGGAGGTCCTACAGGAGGTCCTATAGGAGGTCCTACAGGAGGTCCTATAGCAGGTCCTATAGGAAGTCCTATAGGAGGTCATGTAGGAGGTTCTACGGGAGATCCTACAGGAGGTCCTACAGGAGGTCCTATAGGATGTCCTATAGAAGGTCCTATAGGAAGTCCTATAAGAGGTCCTATGGGAGCTCGTGCACCTCCTATGACAGTATAGCTGCTCTATGTAGTACGCGTGTGCAAAGTTCACAATTCTAACCACAAAGTGCACAATGTGCCAATTTTTATGTGCAATTATCCGCCGCTCTACTCTCGCGGTTAGCGTGTCGTGTATTATTTCCCATATTTAGCTGCGTTTCCTCCTGTTGTTACCCCGACCCAGCTTCGCACGTATTTTACCACCTCGTATCCATACACCCTACGCTCATATACATACTTTCCTCATCCCCCACTACGACTCTTCTCCACCTACATGCGTTCCTCCCCCGTAACGTACACCCATGCTCTTCCCCACCCTCCCTTCTTCGTCTCGTACACACCTGCCCACCCCTGCTATCCCTTCTCCGTCTCGTACACCCCTGCACTTCCCTCTCCTCCCTTCTCCGTCTCGAGATGAATGTGGTACACGTGGCTGAATGAGAGATATAGGGCGCAGGGAGACAGAATATAGTGAGATGAATGTGGTACACGTGGCTGAAGGAGAGGTATATGGCGTGGGGAGAGAGAATATGGAGAGATGAATGTGGTACACGTGGCTGAAGGAGAGGTATATGGCGTGGGGAGAGAGAATATGGAGAGATGAATGTGGTACACGTGGCTGAAGGAGAGATATAGGGCGCAAGGAGAGAGAATATGGTGAGATGAATGTGGTACACGTGGCTGAAGGAGAGATATAGGGCGCAAGGAGAGAGAATATGGTGAGATGAATGTGGTACACGTGGCTGAAGGAGAGA